CGGAACAATAGAAGTAGCTAACCATTAATGGTAAAGAACAAAAAAGTGAGATGGATTGCGAACGCCAACATGTACGTGCACATTTAAGGATACCGCATCATTTATCTTTTTAAGAATATGTACAAAAGATTCATTATTGTTTATTACTGAATATGTATTTGATTGAATTAATGTTTATATATGTGAAATGAACAATGCAATTCATTAATAATACATAGAATATTAAAACACTCGAGGAGACAAGACGATGAGTGACGATGGTTCTACATAAGAAACTGAAGAAAATATGACCCTGGTTGTAGCTGTAGTGAGCTTAATGTAAAAAAAAATTAATACCTCTATGCATGTTTTAAGTTATATTATTTAATGTTAATAAATGGAACACTAGAAGTAGCTAACCACTAATGGTAAAGAAATAAAGCGAGATGATTGAGAACGCCAATTTATGTACAGTACAGTAAGTGGGTACATGTGAAAACATATCGTCATTTCTCTACATATGAATATGAAAGCAACACTTATTTACTTTTCATATATGTTTAAAATAATATTTGCGAATGTAAAACAAAAATTCTACTCGCCAATGGTGGTAAAGTCTAAAACATAAGGACAGCCAATAAATATTGTGCGAGTTTTAACTCAGATGACGAAGTCATCAGGTTCAACTCTGGCTGAATCTGTAGCTTTCCATAAAGCTGTTGCTGAAGCTGTTACTGAACCTTAAGTTGTTGTTGAAGCTGCTTATGATGCGGAATTTGATGGTGTAGCTGAAGTTGATGGTTTAGGCCTTCAAATGATAAAGCTGTCGAAAGAACCTTGCACAGCTGCTATCTTTTTAGGCCTTCGAATAATAAAGCTGTCGAAAGAACCTTGCACAGCTGCTTTCTTTTCTCATTATACATCTTTATGTAGAGGTCATTTGCATTTATTTAAATTTTAATGCTTTGTTTTGTTTATGGATCTACTTCAGAAAATATGTTCATTGCTTGCTCCATATAATATCCACAGACCTCTCACCTGTTTCATATCGTTTTAGCACATCTAGTTTCTCGGCTAAGCTTATACACTTTCAATTAGCTTTTGAAACAACACTACCATCACTTGCTCTCTTGCTCATGTTGAATAGGGTTACAAAAATGCTGTAAGAAACCTGAGAAAGTTTTTCTCTTTTTCCTGTTCAGATGCGTGAAAACAAAGGACCCTCCAGCTGCGATTGTTTATACTAGTGATGCTGGCGTCACCTCTAACAAGCCCGGCAGCCTCCGTGCACAATATACGTTTTTATTTTTTATATCGGGATTTAGTTATTATTTACGTATACGAAAATGTAATACAGTCATGCGCCGGTTAACGTCCTAGATACGTTCTTGGAAACGTGACGTTAACCGAAATGGACGTTGTCCGATCATCACATAAACTTTTTATTTATACTTATGTGTATGTGGAATACTGTATACGTACATACCCTGTATACACTTTTACTGTTAAATCACTACTGTAATGTGATACAGGTGATTAATTTTTATCTCTTGTGCAAAATACATGACGTTTATATTAAAATTATTCACTGGTTTACAAGGATTCCAGCAACGCCAAGCAGATGGGGGAGAGGGTGGGAGCGAGCGAGGGGGCGTGGGGGGAGGGGAGGTAGTACGTTTGACAGTTGGCACAGGCCCAGGTCTAACGCGTGTATATTTATCAGTTCTTAGGTGACTAAGCTTCTCTTTTATAAAAAGCCAGTGAAATGACCTGGGTGAATATAATTAACATAGCTGGGATTCTTGTAACATACTGATTAATTTGAATATAAACATGCTATAATTTGCACTAGACAAAACAATTTTAGTACCGTAATCAAATTAGTACATATGCACTCAAGCTTTGCACTAACGTCATTTATTTCTATTGCGTTTCTTTTAGTATGGTGTGTGCATGTAAATGGATGAAAATAAATGAAGAAATCTATGTAAATCTACCCTAAAATACTGTTGAAAAACTTTTTTAGGAAATGTACTATAGTACTGTACACTAATGTACAACAATTTTTATCTCTTGAGCAAAATATATGACGTTTATATTCAAATTATTGGCTGTCTTGCAAGGATTCCAGCAATGCAAATTATAATCTCCTAGCTTTAGTCTGAGATATTATATAAGATAAAAACTGTAAGCCTAAAAGCCTGGCTGGGGGGGGACTGACGGCTCCGCCACCCAGCGAGGGGTTGAGGGGGTGGGGGGGTTGAGGTGATAAGTTTGAGGCGAAGGTCTCTGTGTGTTTATTTAAAAGTCCTACTAAGCTTCTCTCATTTTATAATGCAAGTGATATTACCTAGGAAAATATAATTAACATAGCTGGGATTCTTGTAAGATACTGATTTATTTGAATATAAACATGTTGTAATTTGCACTAGACATAACAATTTTAGTACCGTAATCAAATTAGTACATGTGCACTCCAGCTTTGCACTAATTTATTTTACGTTTCTTTTAGTATGGTGTGTGCATGTAAATGGATGAAAATAAATGAAGAAATTCATGTAAATCTACCCAAAAATACAGTTGAAAATTTTTTTATAAATTGTACTGCAGTATTATACACTAATGTACTACAATTTTTATATCTTGAGCAAAATATATGACGCTTATATTGAAATTAATCTCTGTCTTGCAAGGATTTCAGCAATGCAAATTATATTATCTTAACTTTAGTCTGAGATATATAAAATAAACATAAAGAAATCACCAATCTTTTATCTTGGAACACGAGGGTGGTGGGAAGACGGCGGGGGGGAGGCGGCGGGAAGTGAGGTGATGGAATGTCTGACATTTGTTTGTTTATTTATTTGAGATAAGATTTGACAGTTGGCGCTGAAGGCCTGCCTGCGTGTTTATTTATCATTACTTAAGAGTGACTAAGCTCTTCTCATAATTTTCCACCCAAACGACCTGGGTGAAGATAACTTACATTGGAGGGATTCTTGTAAGATAGTAATTTATTTGAATGTTTTTTTTTTTTTCAATTTAAATTTAAATTGTTTATTCCTTGATAGAGGAAGCGGGATCCTAGTGCTGTCCCTTGGTACCCCTGTACCATAACACCAGAAGCAGCTGGCCAGTTTCACAAGTATATACAGTACAGTACAGTCATCCCTTGGTTATCGCGCCTAATTGGGACCCCGCCGTTAACGAAAGTACAGAACCTATGGGATTTATTCTAATTGGTTCATTTACCCAAGACCCAACCCCAAGTTTCCCATTTTATGACCATTTAGACCCACTAAATATATATATAATGTTATGATAAATATCATAAACACACATAGACATGGCTAGGTTTATTACAAAGTGATGAAAAGGGTACGCTTTAATACTGTAGTCTACAAAACATGTAGCTATGCTTTTTTTTATTTGGTCCCCCGTCATACGAGTCCGTTTTCTCTCACATCAGGATGCCTGAGTCCTCCGTTTTCTCTTAATCTTAGAGTGCACCAGAAACTTTACTATTTTTAGTAATGCCACAGAATTTGAAATTGCAACCCCAATTGCAACTGGGGTTGCAATTGTTGAGGCAACTAGATATGTCTGATTACAGCAAATGTGTTATTGTCAATTTGTAGGTGAAAGATTTCATCCTCAATAGATGTAGGTTAACATGTAGCGTACTGTATGTGGCCAGTTGTCAATTCTCTTAGTATGGGCACACAAACGTACGTACATGTAGATATCTCACACTCAGGAATGAGGTAGAATAGAAACTCACACTGCGCTTTCTGTATATATATTGTTATATAGCGCAGTGCTTAGGAGTGACTAGGTGAGGAGAAATTTGCTCAGAGGTCCTGTAGGGCGAGGAGGTTTCTGAGGAAGCTGGGTGGTGAGGAGTTGTGAGAGATGTTGCTGGTCCGGTAGCCGAGTGTAGAATGGTCTCCCTGGCCAGGCATGGCCGTATTTATGCAATTTACGAGGATCAGGATTTGGGGTGAGCGTAGCGAGAGGGCCAATCACAGCGGCTTAAGCGTAAGGTGTGAAACGCTTTGATCCTGAGCTGGAGGTTGAAGGTCGAGACTAGGTCGGCAATCGTACCCCTACGTCCACTGCATAGACCTAGTCTCTTGGCGTAGCTGGCTGTACGCTGATTGGCTTGTAGGCGCGCGGCCGGAGCTCAGTTGGGAGTTGTAGGGGAGAGGAGCCACTACAAACATTTCACCTGTAGGCAAATGCTTTAAAAAAGCCGAAGTAAGGAAGCATATTCCTTTAACACATAATATCTGACCAGTATGGGGAGGATCATCATGTCTCCGTCAGGGGGTCGTGGAGTGGTGGTCCAGCAGGCGTCACTTTTTTTTTTTTTTGTGGGGGGGTGGGGGGGCCACGGACGTATATGCGATCGGACGTTGTTCGGTCGGACGTTAACCGGCACATGACTGTATATAATTTTTTATTTTTGTCGTAAATACGAAGAAAATAATGGCGTAAATTGAATTGGGTCCTAAATTAACCAGGGTCTTAGATATGAATCTTCGATAGTTGAACTGTCGTTATCGGAGGCTTCACTGTACAAAGTGAATACAGTAATATGTTGCTCAAAATTAAGTTGTTTTTTTCACAGGAAAATGTCTTTACAACTAACCCCAGTGGTCAGGATAATATGTACCCCTGTACTGTATTTTTGGTGTTTTTTATAATATTATTTACCGTTTCTATACATTTAGTACATTTGCCGGAAGGTTCGGACAATCAGCCTTTCCGGACAGGTGGTCCCCCCCTTTTAGTCCGGATTTTCGAGGGTTCACTATATACATACATACACTTTTGTGAGATATTTTGATTACTTCATTTACTTCATTGTTATCATGAGATATTTTGTCATAGGTAAGATATAAACCACATGTATGAGTCTGAAATTTATATCATATGATGTTAATGAATCATGACTCTTTAAGGACAGAGGGGCATATGATATAAATTTTCTGGTTTGTATATTTGTCTTATTTCTGCAGGAATCAGGAGCTTGGTTTCACTTGCAAAGTCTAACAAGTTCAGAAACACACATTGTTGCCCCAGCAGTATACCCGCTAGCACCAGCCATCATGACACCTCACATGACGGAAGTTCTATCATACCAAGTAAGACTATTGTTTTCACCACTACTGTATATGGTACAATACAAGTTGATTAATTTAGCTTTATTTTTTGGTGAAATATAATGTAATTTGTCTCATGGATAGGAACCCTCTCTATATCTTTTACTTTAGCCTTATTAGAGAACCCACTCCACTGGTCAACAGCCAAAATGGTTCACATATGAGATCATGCTCACACAACTAATTTTATATTGCTGAATTCGAATCTGATATTTGTTTTGTTCTATCAGACCAGGTTTTATAAAAAAATCAATAGGTACAAATATTTAATATTCCATCACGTGTCATGCAAAAGATGAGATTATCTCATGTGACTGTGCTTTCATGACTAATTTCATATTAATTGGATGTTTCATTCTACCATCAGACCTACTTTCTTAAAGAATAAAAAAAATAGTAAATATAGTAACATTATCACATCATGCAAGATACAATTTTAAACCTATCACAGATAAGCTCATAAAAAATTGTACCAAAAAACATAAGTTCAAATCCTTTATAATGACAAAATATGAAGTTCTAAAAGTGCTTCTGAACTTTACTCTTTCTCTTGTACAGCTTGCTCTCTTCTCGTTGCAGTGTCCAGCAATAGTCGCCCATCATGTTAGGACTGAATTGTCCCTGATATCTGCTCTCCATTATGGCGATATCTTGATGAAATCTTTCGCCGTGTTCATCACTAACGTCTCCAAGGTTACCTGGGAAAAATTCAATATGAGAGTGGAAAAAATGCAATTTCAAGGACATCCTTGCTCCCAATGCATGATAATTCTGAAGCATGGTTGTTACGATTTCTTTGTAGTTGTCAGCACGATAGTTTCCAAGAAAATTCTTTGACACATTGACAAATGATTCCCATGCTTTTTTCTCCAGTGGGTTCAATGTTTTGGTGAATTCGCTATCATTAACTAGTATATGAATTTGTGGTCCATTCAAGACACCTGCTTTCAACTTGGCTTCGGAAACCACACCACCTAGTTTCTGAGATAAGTATTGAGTCCCAGCACTGAATTGATCCATAGCTTTGATGAAATTTTTAGCCAAACCGAGCTTTAGATGCAGTGGAGGCAAAAATATCTTTTCTGGATCTACAAGCGGATTGTGAGCACAGTTAAACCTTCCAGGCGCATCTCTTGGTCTTGTCGGCCAATCCTTTCTCACATAGTGCTCTGCATCAGCTCTGCTGTTCCACAAGCACAAAAAGCACATGTGCTTTGTGTAGCCACTTTGAAGGCCCAGTAGTAAACTGATGACTTTGAGATCGCCACATATCTTCCACTGGTGTTTCTCATACTCTATAGCGGCCAACAGAATTTTCATTGTTTCATAGCTCTCAGTCATTTTTGTTGCGTGTGCTATTGGGACAGATGGAAGCCGATTGCCATTGTGTAAAAGAACAGCTTTCAGAGAGTCTTTTCCTGAGTCTATAAACAGCCTCCAATCCTCTGTCTTGTATGTTTCAAACTTGCAGAGGTGTTGCATGAGAGATACTGCGTCCTCGCAATGACAAAGGTTGTTTGCCATCTTGAAAAATGCAGACAGCTGTCTATGTCGGTAATGCGCTGTAGTGATATGCACTCCATCTTCTAGCAGGTTATGCTGCTTTAGTCTGGATCCCAAAACTTCAGCCTTTTCTTTTGACAAGTTTAGGTCCCTGATGAGATCATGAAGCGCTTCTTGTGTAAATAGTTTAGGCCTGGTATTTTCAGAGTCATCCTGGTAGTCGTTTTCCATTGAGGTAGAGGTAGAATCGGAATCACTCAATTCTTGTTCAGTCGGTGGATTTGGGACTGGAAGTTCAGCACTGTGCGGTACTGGTCGGATTGCAGAAGCAATATTGGGGTACTGTACCTTGCCTCGTGTCTTGATTTTTATTCCCTTAATATTTATGAGACAGAAGTAGCAGTCACTACTGTGGTCTTTAGGTTCACGCCATATCATTGGTACAGCAAACGGCATTCCTGAACTTCGTTTACCACACATCCACTCGCTCAGGTGGTTAACACAAGACTTACAGGCTACATGAGGTGCCCATTTCTTGTCTTGGTCACCCAAATGACATTTGAAGTAACTTTTGTAGTTCAGTCGAACAGCTTTTGTGATTGGTTTCTTGAGGCTACCAGGAGTGAAGGCACCACATATGTAGCAAAAACTGTCAGCACCGTTCACACACTTGCGACGTTCCATGTTTTGTTAATTTCAGAGTAATTACAAATCATGCAGGTGTAGATATGCAATATCATGAATCAGCAAACTGAAACAAACAAAAAAGCACAAATCAGGACAAAATAATTGCATAAGTGGAGCCAATGAGCATATAAATTACTGTATGAATAGCATGGTACACTAAATATATAGATATGCTGGTTCTGGAAAACTGAGCCTGATACAGCTATACGAATGTCATAATTGAGTTCAGCACATACAATTACACTAGAATCAGACTGTTTTGATCCAGAACCATGAGAATTTTTTTTTTATGTTGACCAGTGTGATATAGAAATTGTTAATATTTATTGTATAAGTTAGCTAAGAATTGAAGTGAACCAATCTGTCAGTTGTAAAAATCTGCTACAGCAGTTAGGGTAATGCATTTTGTGTGTGTGTGTGTTAATAATTTTATTTTGTTTTTATATCTAGGAAGCCTTGTTTAATGAAAACCACAGAGAAGCTCATAAGTTAGCAGTTAATGCCATGACCATATTCAAGTCAAGATTTAAGCGGATGCAAAAGTTGGACCGCCATGTCGACAATAACAGAAAGTTTGTGAAGGCTGCCTGCATTCTCCACAACATTGCTCTTATGCATGAAGATGAAACAGTAAGTTTCTTTCACTTGTCTAACTCATAGTTCTAGTTTTCACCATTAAAATATCTGTACAGTAACATATGGTAGACTCTTAAAATAACACAATTCATGACTGGGCTTTTGATATAAAGCAGCACGCAAAATTTTTCCCATATTTGGTTATTGCACAATCAGACTCAGATATTTCACTGCGTAGCTTCATTTGCGATGGCGTTAGGTTCCTACCCATTCGCAGGCTGAAATATTGGAAATCATGTTCATTATAATATGGGGTTCAATGGGATAGGTACCTGGCCAGTCGGACACCCATTGTATCACCGAAAAAAAATCCTAAAATACTACTACCACTGCAACACATTTAAACAACACTCACCATATTATTAAGAACAAGTATAATCAGCATATGTCCCCTTCAAGGCTATGGGGACTCTTAGGTGGAGTGGAGACATCAACCAGAGTCCCACACAGACTTTGGGGAGTCTGAATAGTGGGGACTGGAGGTGTAGCCTTCGTCCTGGCCTTAAAGATGGTGAGCAAAATGCTTGCCAGACATTTTCAAAGTTACACCGTTCACTTCACAGTCACAAAAAATGACAATAATGATAAGGACTCAATTTTTTTATGGAAAAATGTAAGAAATGTTGCAGTGGAGGTGTGGTAGGGGATTAGTGGGTCTCATGTTGCTGACCTGACCTGATCAGTGTCAGGTGGAGGTGGGGTGGTCTCATGCAATGTCAGGTCACCCAGTGTCAGGGTGAGGGATTAATGGGTCTCATAAAGAAGGTTAAGTAGAAAATATATCCATGGTTATCAAAAAAGTTGATAAAGTTTTATTCACAAGAAATGAAGTTGGTACTGCCCATATATGGAGATGTGTTTCTGATTATATATTTTATCTGAGATATATGCAGTACATTAAGTCCTCGTATAACGTCTTCCCGTTTAACGTTGTTTCTGTACTACATCGCTAAACTTTAGAGACAAAAAATTCGTTTATCATCCCGATGATCCAATACTACGTCGTTTTGCGTCGTCATGGACTACTTTCTACGGTGCATCACCCGCTCTTGACTGGCCACGCTACGCTCTCTCGGCTCGGCACGCTGCCCTTACTCGCGGAACGACATAGAGTCCCCAAGCGACGCTGAGCCAGTCTTTGTTACGACTTCACATCATTCGTGTGTACTTAAGTGTTTTTGCTCTAAAACTGTACTCTAACCATTCGAAATGGCTTCCAAGTGCCCATCAGTGCTTCTGATGCTAGTGTAGTGAAGAGGCTATGTAAGACCATTGCCCTGGCTACGAAAATGGATGTATTAACCCGATTTGAAAAAGGGGAATGTGCTGTGGACATAGCTGCTGTGCTTGGTCTAACCCCCACAACGGTGCGTACTATCCGGACCAACGCTGGAAGTGGTTCTTCTCTGAGTGCAACTAAGACAACTCATACTGGAAGCACTGTGATAGAAAAAGTGGAAAAGATGCTGGCTATGTGGATGGAGGACCAGAATCAACGCAATGCCCCTGTGAGCCTTATGGTTATCCAGTATAAGGCCAGATCCTTGTTTGACAACTTAAAGGCAGAAGAGGGTGAAGGATCGAAAGAAGAGACCTTTACGGCCAGCCGAAGATTGTTTCAACGATTTAAGCGTGATTATAACTTCCACAATATAAAGACGACTGGTGAAGCTGCCAGTTCAGATATGGTTGCTGCCGAGACATTCCCGCCAGAATTCAAACGGATTATCCAGGAAGGAGGCTACTCATCAAGGCAAGTCTTCAATGTGGATGAGACTGGTCTCTTTTGGAAGAGGATGCCTGAGAGGACCTATATCTCCAAGGAGGAGAAAAGAGTGCTAGGTTTTAAAGCGGCAAAAGACCGCTTGACTCTGCTGCTTGGAGCGAACGCTGCCGGTGGCTTCAAGTTGAAGCCTATGCTGATTTCTCGCGCTGCCAACCCACGGGCCCTGAAAGGTTACTCTAAGGATCACCTACCTGTCATTTACAAGGCAAACAAGAAGGCATGGATAACCGACGCCATATTTAGCCAGTGATTAAACGTGTACGCCGTCCCTGCACTGAAGGAATGCTGTGCCAAGGAGAACCTTAACTTAAAAATTCTTCTGATCCTTGACAATGCTCCAGCTCATCATCCCAATCTCGATGACTTGCATGACTGTAAACGTTGTATTCCTGCCTCCCAACACGACAGCACTGATGCAGCCTATGAACCAAGGCGTCATCGCCGCATTCAAGGCGTATTATTTACGCCGTACCATGGCCCAGCCGCTCAAGGCTACAGACGGAGATAATAAAACAACGATCCGAGAATATTGGTGTGGCTACAACATTCTTCATGCAATTGACAACATTGGCAAGGCATGGAAGGAGGTTTTTAGAAAGTTGCCTAAATGGTGTGTGGCGTAAATTGTGGCCTGAGTACGTCAACAGTTTTACAGGATTCACGGACTTAGTCCCAGCAGTGAATAGGGATATCTAAGTTTGGCTAGACAGGCAGGCTTTGATAAGCTGGAATCAGAGGATATTGAGGACGTCCTGGCATCCCATACAGAAGAGTTCACCAATGAGGATCTGCAACAACTAACAGAACACAGTCCCATTGAAGATGACGATGACGAAGAAGAACCTCAACGAACGCTAACTTCCAAGAGGATGGCAGAAGTGTTCAACATGATCCAGCAAGGTATGCAAATCCTTGTAGATGACGACCCAAACAGAGAACATAGCTCAAAGGAACGGAACCATTGTTAAACAGAGGTGAACAGTGGTGAACAGTGCTTAAGTCAGTGAGAACAACTCAACAGTAACAGTCGTACCCAAGTTAACCTTCACACAGTGAGGTCCCAGGTACCCAGTGATAACGGCCCGTGAGACCCAACAACAACCAGCGATGTGTTAATCCTTCTACGATAGGAAGGCCTAAGACCAAACCTCACTCATATAACACCATCTGTGAGGGAATTACTACACCACATGTCCCTCATAACACCATATGTGAGGGAATTACTACACCACGTCAAGTCCCTCATCACACCATCTGTGAGGGAATTACTACATCACGTGAGGTCCCTCTTAACACCATCTGTGAGGGAATTACTGCACCACGTCAGGCCCCTCATAACAACATCTGTGAGGGAATTACTACACCACGTGAGGCCCCTCATAACACCATCTGTAAGGTAATTACTACACCACGTGAGGTCCCTCATAACACCATCTGCGAGGGAATTACTACACCACGCCAGGTCCCTCATAACACCATCTGAGGGAACTACTACACCACGTGAGTTCCTCCTAACACCATCTGGGAGGGAGTTACTACACTACAAGTTTGCTGTTCAACACCTACATTAATCTGTATGTTCACTGTATGTTCCTTTACCTTTCTCTAATGAAGGCTTTTGTTAAACCACCAATGTATGTAATAAGTCATTTATGTCCAATGTATATTTTCAGCCTTCGGACTGCAGAATTTTTTCAATAAACTGTTAATTATTATTATTATTATTAAAGGTTCAACTCAGAATTGATGAAAGTCTTGGTTATTACACTGAGATGTGTAAGGAGAAGAAGAAGAGTAGCACCAAGCAGTCAACACTGGATAAATTTTATTGTCGCAGGACGGCAGAAGCAGCTTCTTCACAACAGCCGGCAGACAAGGAGGAGCACACAGCAGCCAAGGAGGAGCAAACATCAACGGAAGAGGAGCAAGCAGCAGCGGAGGAACCCCAGTCAGCGCAAAAGGAGGAGGAGGCAGCTGCAGAGTCTCAGTGACACACCACCCTCCTCCCCTCCCGCTCTCCTCCGCTCCCACCCTCCTCCTCTGCTCCTGCCATGCGCCTCCTCCACTCCCGCCATCCACCTCCACAGTAGGGTGTGACAGTTGCCCCAACTTTGTCCTACAATGCTGTTCAAAATTTTGGTGTTGCATATTGACATAAAAAATACCCACGTGCAATTTTTTGAAGATTCATGCATATTTGAGTGAGCACCAGCAATTTGAAAAATAGCGATTTTGCTTTGACGGCATACGCGCCTATATATGAGATTACACAACCATCATAAGGGATATTAACACAAATTATTTGCCTGTCTTAATTAAAAGCTGTTATCACTAACACAAGAAAGTTAATCATTCTTATTCTCTCATGGTACATTAAGGGGTTTTATCATATATTCACAAGGTATTATTTCTCTAGATCAAGAAACCATGATTTCTGTTCGGAAACAGATGATCGTTTGCGCTGATTAGGAACGCGGAGTCTGTCATTTTCAACTACTTGAAGGACTTCTTGAAAGCGCTCCTCATCCCTGGCAACATTACAAAAGTCATGGCAAAGTTTTACACCACGCTCTGCAGCCTCATTGACGACCTGAAGCTTGTCCACAACCCGTTTCATGTTCAGGTAGTCGTCATGATTCGCCCATGGTGAAGAACCGGCTTGAGTCAGGCCCAATTAGATCCACCAGGGAAGTGCCACTTTCTGGGTTTCCATAGCCCCCATGATTGATCCCCACTCTCTTAGTAACTTCAGGGCCTTCATGGCAAAGAAGGGCCTTTTCTCATCTCCTCTTTTGTCCTTTCTTGTACTTGGGACGTGAACAAAGCCAGTGGGGCCAACTCCTCAGTTAGGTACCAAGTGTGTCTACCGAGTGCCACACGTGCTTTGTCAACTGTTGTGGCGTCATATTGGGCAAATTCAGCCACGGTTTCGACCAAATTCAAGTCATTTAGTGGCGCACTTGCTGGAACGGGGCAAACAATCCACCATGGGACATAAACAGCGACTGTGAACACAGCAAACATTTCTAACTTGCTGATTTGACTTTTAGTCACAAGCTCGGCTTTGGGAAACTGCTCTTTGATCTGGCCTGACAAAAGAACAATCTTGAGGGTATAGAGCAGTTTAGCCATCCACCTTGCTTGTGAAGTGCTCCGGGTTAGACCATCGTGAAGCTCACTGGCTCGGATCCTTTAGTTAGAAGCAGCA